GTCAGCTCATGGTTCTCCTGTCATCATCTGAACCTAAACACTTTCTCTGAGAATTGCTACCTAAAACCATATTTTACTTCTTTCCTAATAAACTCAGTAACAATTTGAAAAAACAAGGAAGAAATGTATGGCAACACCAGAGGGTGACACAGTGCAAGCCCCTCTGAAACGAGCTGGCCTTTTTTTTCCTGTTCCCCCCACTCCTTCCTTTTCTCCCTGGCCTCAGGAGCACCTGTCCAAATGCGATTGCCCTGCTGACAGACAGATGGGACAAAATGGCCCATGTAGTTTTCAATTTAGCAATTAAAAAAAAAAAAATCACGGGATTATTTGGACCGAATAGAGTGAAACAAGAACAGCTCAATTGAATTACAGTATATAAGACTCCGGCCTACTGGCTGAATAATTCAAAACAGGGTATTTTCCTTCTTTAATATATGAACAGATACTTCCTTCCTGTGTGAAGAAATAAATCCTTCAACTTTCTGCTTTTTATTATTTTAGAAAGAAGCCAGGGATCAGAGAACATCAGCTAATGAGACTGTTCTTTTTTGTATATATATTTCAAATTAAAATGAAAAAAAATCCTAAAATTTAAGCCAGATCTCTCTGTTTACACACACACATTTCCTGTCTACCAAATGATTCCTGGGACTCCGGCCTCAAACATTTTGCATGCTCTTAGAATAAGACAGTAATTCTGAAAATGTATCTTAAAATAGCTACTGAAAGGGAGAAGAAAAAAAAAATTACTCCAAGTCATCAAGTCATTGGTAATAATTGCATAAAAAGCCTGACTATTTTTTAAGGGGAGGGGGGTGGCAAAAGAAGGCTGATAGTTGGATGACCAAAGACTGATCAACTGTAAACTGCACTGCTCCAATAACATATTTGGTTTCATAACTTTCTTTGAGCCATACAAACATGTGATCAAAAATAGGATCTAATCCTGCCAGTAGCAGGGCTATCACATCAATCTCCTTTGGAAAATTACAGTGGAATATTGACAAATGGCCCTTGCAAAGATGCAGCAGCTGAATAAGCACATTCAGGGACAAGGGTTCATGAAAAAAACCCTCAGTCATATCCTCTTAGGTCTCAAATGGCCACATTGCTATCAGTTTTCTTTGCTTTACCTGAAACCATTAAAACCAAAAAAATGCCAATGAATGTGAACAATTAGAGAAAGCAGTGCTCCAGACAAATATATAGCTAAGTCATCAACAGCTGCCTTACTATGCATACTGAGTCTAGAACTTCCCATGTAGACTGTGTCTTTTGAGGGTAAAAAAGATAAAATTAGTTTAAAGATTCTTTTCCTTGCTTACTGAATGAAAACATTGATCCTGTCGACATTTTTATTTTTTACTTAATTATTGCTAAATTCAATTTTGAATGTGATGTTATTCTTCAAATTCCTTTGGAGCCTGCTTTTATTTGTTAGAATGGAAACTCTTGAGCCAATTTCAATCCTTTGAAACCAAAAGGACACTACTAATTCTAAATAATTTGTAAAAATTACTAGTAATAGGTTCTGGATTTTGTGCATCACAGACCTTCTAAGTGTAGTTAAATCAGAAAAAACCCACACTTCTCTTCATAATTTACTACTGTATTCAGACTTATCATGTTTTTAGCACTTTACCTATAAGACAAAAGAAGAGCTAATAAGCCTGCTTCACCTCTGGTTTTGAGGGTGTATTGTTTTTACTGGAATACTGCAATACTGAATCTCAGCTATATTTTCTATATTTTCAGCTATATTATTGTTTTCATTCTATCATGAAAATGAAAAAAATACACACTCAAATATTGCTGACATTATAATCTGTTACCAAAATTCTAAAAAGCTAAACGTTTGAGAACAAAAGTAGCTGTTTCCTTATTCTCATTTGATTGTCCTCTAACTGCAGAAATATATGGGGTTCTACAGTGGGTGTGACATTAATAGCACAGTAACTACCAGAGCACCTCAAAGAGCACGAAGCAATTAATCCATGACAAATACATTTAAATGAGCTATATATACCAAATGCTTCTTTATTTCTGGACATCCAACATCTTAATTCTAGCCCTGGTAGGCCTTTCAATTTCTTTCTTTTATTTTCAATGCCTACACGATTGCTTAAGAATAATAATATTAATTTTTTACATGAAGTTTTTATGCTAATGACTGTGCTTACTTCAGAAAATGTGAAATCATCCACATTTATTTCTTCATAGTCATCCTCCACTTCATCACTTTTAACAGCTGCAAGAGCACTGGCCAGCTTCTTTCGAAAAAGAAAACCCTTCCAAAATGCCTAAACAAAAAAATTTAAAGCATTTTACACAAAGCCATAGATCAAACCTGAATCCAGATTCTCTATGTTATCCCATTAGGAAGATAAAACATCTTGGGCCTTGGTTTAATAGCTCAATGATCTGTTTTTTGAACTTTATGTGACATTTAAAACTACAAGACAAATTAAATGCCAGCATATGTCTAAAGCTTAGAGTACTCAAGAGGCTCTCCACAAGTAAGCAGAAAGGAATCCTGAAACTCCCTTAACTACAAACCTGGGTCAACTAATTAATTATTTGACAATTCCTTCAGGGACTATTATAAACTGAAAGGAAAGGCTACATAAGAAAAAGCTGAGTGTCAACTTTCAAATTACTGAGAATAAAAATACACTTGTACTAAATGTCTTATAGTTTACAAGTAGCAATTCTTGGAGACATCTCATGCAATTGACCTAGGTCAGTTACTCTTTCTTAACTGTCTAAGATCTTTATTTTTAAAAAAATATTACCAGTAGGCACAATCATATCTAAGAAAAAGGAGCACATTAGGAATTAAGTACTAGTAAAGGAGGAACGGTGTTAGGAACACATGCCAAGCCATAGAATCAGATCCAGCAAAACACTTCAGAGATCAAAATTACACAGATGGAATTTAGAAAACTAAATTCAGGAGACCAATTTTCCCCCAAATCAGTGTTTGACATCTTTAGAGTTCAAGATGCCCTAACCATTTAAAACACCATGCAAAAAATTTCCACTGTCCTGAAAGATGTAGTGTTGTCCACATTTAATGGCTTTGCAATGAAGGCACTAAAATAGGAAGGGTAAATCTCATATTCTGGTTTAAAGTTTATCTTATTAATTTTTAGGAAATTATTGTCTAACTGCATAAATTATTGAAAATGTTACTGTTTTTACACACAAAACTCCTGAATGTTATAAAAATGATTAAATTTATTAGAATGGCTTTCTTACAATTTCATTGTTGTTATTTTCCTACAGATCTTCATAACCATCCAGATAAAATATCCTTTTATTACTGAGTGATCAAATGACAAATATATTTCATTCAACAAATACAATTAGTTTTCACAAATGCAAAGGCGAGAAGCAATCCTAAAGGTACATGCAGAAGGACGAACTGTAAGGCAGCTGTTAACACAGATCTATGAAAGCACCAGGTCAGTGCTCAGCCATGATCTAAAAGAAAAAGTATGTTAGTAGTTTTTAAGAAACAAGATGAAAACTGTCTTACTGGACAAATTAATGATGTATCTGCCTATTGAATTCAGTTCTAGTCACTTCTTTAAAAAAAGGTTATAATAGAATGAGGTAAAGGTTCAGAGAGGGACAAAAAGATAAGAAGTAGTAGAGAGTAATGTGAAAAGAGACTAAATGGACTAAACTTGTTTACAAAAGAGTGAATCTAAGGATGGATATAAGAGAGATCTAAAAATCCATAAAATGCACAGAAGACATATAGCGAAAGACTTTATTTTCATACTAACTTCGCAAATTATTAGGTCTGAAACAAATGAAAAGAGGCACATTCTAATCACTATACACATTTGTGAAACTCATCACTTTAACATATAGTAGAGACCAAATATCTAAGTTCAAAAATGCATTAAATAAGTTTATGGAGATCAGCTGTTAATATACTAGCTACACACACTACACTCCAGAAACAAATTTTAGCTCAGCTTCCCAGATAACTGACTGCTGTAATATGATTCTGCACTTGTCCTGTTTCTTAGTACGCACATTTACTAAACATTTTGCTACTGCCTGTTTGTTGAATAGATACTAATGAATTACTTGGATTTTCAGTCTGAAAATGGAACTTAGGCTCCTAAATTACTTTGGTGCTGGTGACATTTTTATAGAAGACTTATAATATCGAATGCGTTTAAGTTAACTTGAAATCTGAAATCAATACAGAGTCCATTTGCTTAAAAATGTAGAAAAACTCATGAACCCTGGCAACTTGGCAGGTAAATAGTATATCTGGTTAGCAAACTAAACAGAGCGAAGGCATGGACTTTAATTCTCGCACATAGTAATCCACTCTGTTTAGCTGTTAGCTCAGCATCTACGATAGGACAGCCTAGGCCATGGTCTGTTCCCAATGGCAGTATGGATGAGGCAATCCTGGTTTTGGAAGATGGGGAGAGAAGGAAAGAGATGGATAGGTAGGACAGAAGAGATGGAAGGAGTACCTACTCCTTTGTTGTATAGATATCAGGCATGATGTACCAGTTATGCAGCATCTGTCAGTTTAATAGCATAGACATATCCCAGTAAGAACACGGGCACAATATGTCTTAAACATAATATTAGAATTAAATCAAGCAAAACTAATTCAGTAAAATACTTGGTGAAAAAAGGGAAAATATTTTTATGCTTCTGTAAAACTTTTTTTAAAGAAGGCTCTCTCTTAGAAACATCAAGGTTATGCTGATTAAATAAAACAAAAAATGTTTAATTATGAAACTATTAATAAAACCATAAACAAAAATAGAGAGATGATCACAAGTACACAAAAGTAGTAAGATATTGTTCTAATTAAATTTGCAAAATAAGTAAAGAGAATACCATAAACCAACCTGGATTAGTGTGGCAGCTTCATGCTTCTGTCTCAAAGCCTCTATAAACTGATGATTCTCTGTTTTGGTGCAGTCAGTTTTCCTCCTGGCATGGTACTGCCGCCAAAGGGACTGGATCACTGATGCTGCCATATGTAGCCTCGTAGAGAAATAAAATACCTTTAGGAATGATATAGCCTCACCAGTAAAACTGTATTATCATAGCTGCCAAACTATAACCATAAAACATAGCACTATGCATTGAGACAAATGGAAGGCTCTGCCATTAAACTGTAAAGAAATTACAATCCAGATGTGACATATATGTTCAGAAACACTGGAGGATATTCACTTCACATCACTTTGGAAATCCAGTTATCTAAGAGGGCTAATCTCCACTGGGCTCTGTTCCCAGTATATTCACTGGAGAGGAAGAGTCTCCTCAAAGGAAGGATTAGGAGCATAAGTGGTTTAACAATGAGTGAATAAACTATTGGAGGGGTCCACTTATCTCCACTGTCCGTATAAAAAAAAAAAACCAAACCAAACTAGAAAGAACTAAATGCTGAAAACTGCATGAGACAAATATCTCCAATGGAGCAGACAGAAAAAACTGTGAAAATACAATTTCATCTTTTGTCTACTTTTACCCTTCAATTTAACACTACTGACCACTGGTTATATGTATACATTTTCTAATTTGCTCATTGTTTAACAAGCACTGATTACAGACTATTTAGATTTGTTCACTGATTGAGCTGTCTAAATATATGTTCAATTAATTTATACTGATGGAGAAAAAAGTTTAATACCAGCTCTACATTATGATTTTATTTTCTTGGAATCCTTTTCTCCACAAAACTCTCACTTCAGTTGGATGGTGGGTTTAAGAAAAGACACCAGAATTTCCCCCAATCTTTACATATTTTCTTTCCTTGTGCAATGCATCTATTTAAAGAGGAGTACTTTTCAGCAAAAAAGCACACTTCGGAGGTTAAGCCAGAATTTTTTTTTTCCTAAAATGTGTTTTTTACATTTACCAACCCCAAAACATGGTTTATTTATAAGCTTTGCATCTATAAAAAGCACTAGCTGAGTTAAAAAACAAACAAAAAAACCCCCATCTAATCATTTGTATTCTGCATTGAAGAGAACTGTCCAACAACAGGCTTACAGAATGCATTTAAAACATTAACTAAAAATTCTAAATGAATTATTTCAAAAATATTTTTCTGAAGCATGCACCTTCCATAATAGACTACTGTACTCTTACTTTCAACTTCCTTAGAGGCAATGATGAATTCTAAGGTCTTCCTGAATAATAAATTTTATGACAAATTATTACTGTGTTAAGTACCTACTAAGCACTGCTGCCCATTTACCATAAGTCTAAACAGCATGAAGAAGCACACCTTCCATGCTTGCTCTTCATAGTGTTCTCAAGACATGTATTTTTGAAACTGAATTCTTACAAAATTGTAACTGAATTTTTGTACCTTTAGGGCAAAAATGTCAGGTTCTGTTTTTCCAGACTACATCCAGAACCATACAAACCAGCAGCAAAAGCGTTCCAAAGAGGTAATAAACCAGTCTGTTTCATGCGGAAGAGTATTTGGGGCCACAGAACAAGTTGAACTGGCCCCTCACCCCTGCCTCTACTTTTAAGAAGCAGGTTGAGGCATGTTGGAGGAGTACCAAGGGCAGGGCAGGCTGTTAGCTCTTCAGTCATCACAACAGCAGGAGACTGGCCTAAGGTCAAGGGAGTACAATGGTAGATTTAAGCAACTTTTCCCTCTTCCCTTCTAAACGATACTGACTGTAAACTCTACACAGATGAATCTTGAATGTCTAATGAATAGTATAGCAAAAAAGCCTTACGCTAGTTTGTAGTTTAAACTGCCCCAAAATTCCTGCAAACCATCCAGCATTTTCATCCCTAACATTGTATGTGTCATTGAATTGGTTTCATAAACTTATTGCAAAAAAAGAAATAAAAGGTAGGAGATGAAGAGAAAGTTTTCAAATTCTCTTACAATACAGTATTTTTAAATTATTTTAAGTATATATTTATCTATATTCTAATATATCAACTGACAGAATACCACAAAGGATTGTTGTTAATATGGAAGTCTAGTGCGCATCACCTTAAAATAATTCTTTATTGTCTAATGAGCTTAAAAACATTGTTTTCTTACAAGTTTTGTACCTCTGTTTTAAACAAGAAATCCTCACTCCTATTGCCTATCCGTATAACCTATTTGAAAGCAATCTGACATCTGCCTTACCTTTCTCTATCATTCTCAAAATGCTGAAGATCTCCTCCCGTATTACTTGCTGCTATCACTGACTGTTGCAACATGAGTTGGGCTGACATGTTATTGTTGCCTTTGCTCTCCTCACTGTAATTAATACAAGATTCAGTGCTCTTCTGCTTCACTCTCTGATCTTCTTTATTTTCCTTTTGGTGCACAGGTATGGAGGAGTTAATGAATGTGGCCTGAATATGGCCAGTAGTAATCCATCTTTCAGAAGGATCCAACAAGACCTGTTTATTTTCTGTCGCACCCATGATAAAGAGGTTATTTTCCTGTAGGCAGCCAGTGGATGTTTGCTTTAAATGATTTTGCAGTGCTTCTGGTCCATCTCTGTCAGTAATGTTTAGTTCACCGTACTCATGTGCATATCGATGCTTAATACTAAGTTTCATCAACTGATTAAAATACCAGCATTGTCCCTGTGCAGAACCAATAGAAGAGGCAATTCTAAAAAAAGACAAAAATGTTTTTACATGTGTTTCAGACTGTAAGAATGCTTTTTAAAAAATATATTCCCTCTATTATTTTCTAAACTATCATGTATTTTCAAGTATCCTTACATGTTTCCATATTCTTACAGTGAAGAGCAATTACTCTGATTGAAAACCAGTTTCAGTATTTATCAATCTTAATTGCATTATTCTTTTTTTGGCAGTATTTAGAATATACTCATATATATTAGATTGCTTATTTTACTCTGATTTTTTTTAAAAAAGGGTTCAGTCTGTTTGAAATAAACACTAGGGCATGCATTTCACTATTAATTTTCTGTGTGGTTAGAGGCATACGAAGCCAAAAATTTTAGATGATTTGAGGCAACTTTGTTATAAATCCTGTAATAGCCTTAATAATCCAATTTTATCTGGAAACTATGAAAGTTAATATAAAAATAACAGTAATTTTAAAATATAGATTAGAACTACAGCAACAAACCCCAAACTTAGATTCCAACCAACAAACCACAATGCCTAGGAAAAATTTAGGAAAACAGAAACTTTTAAGTATAGATTTTTTTATCAATATAAGGGAAGGTGCTAGACTGAAGCAACATTAATCTACAAAGTCTGGCTCTCATTCGTTCTTGGTGTTACACCATCTAAATGACAAGGATAAGTAAGAGCAAATATGAACTAATTGTTACAGATTCAGAAGGCTGCCTGTATTTGGACAGTGTTTGTCCATTGTATTAGGTAGCAGGTACTTTTGGAATCACAAAAACATTTTCCTTTGATAGCATAGATAGATGCAGAGATCTGTAATTTGGTGCTATTTTCACAGGAGCATAAAGTCAATTCCAGGTCAGCAATCCAAGAGAAAAAGTAGAAATAAGATCAATTCTCTTGGGAGTCTGGAAAAATCAGTTCCTAAGATTACAGTTTGAATAACAGAATTTTCCTTCCTGTTCATCATTCTTGAAAGGTGAAACTTTTATACAGTATTATTGTGAAAAGACTCTTTACCTATACAACTATTTCCTCTAGTGAAGTCCACCTAAGAACTTTTCAGATTTTTAAGAACATACAGAATCAGATCTTTTACAAGAGTAAAAAAGATTCCAACTCTTCCTCTGCTAGTGCAACTTCGGTGCTTTTGGACAAAATATGAATGGCTAAATTGGAAGCCAAATCCACGCAGCCTAATTACACAACTCACTGTGCATTAGCTGTACATTTGATTGACGATTACACAACATTACTCCTACTCCTGTTAATTCCACAAATATGACAATTCCTAAAAAGATTTAAACCTATGCATATATTTGCTTAAGGATCTAACAAATTCTAGCTGTCTCCTACTAGACAGTAAGAATAGTAATTTCTTCAATATGAAATAAAGCATTAGTTAAATACTTTAGTTAAATACTTTAAATTAGTTAAAGTATTTAATAAGATAAATTTGGTATAATATTACCAAAGTTCTAAAAAACATACTACGGTGAAAGACAAAAAAAAGAAAAATAAAAGAAAAAGAACCCAAAATTAATTCCCACATTTTTTCCCTTTGGTTTGTTTTAGTTTTGTTTGTTTGTTTGTTTATTTGAGCATTAAAATATTGTGAAAAACTCCAGAATGTTTTATATATTGGGCAAAATAAACTTCTGCATGAAAAGTATATCCTGAGTATACTTGTTCATTCTCAAAAAAAGGGAAGCAAAGAAAAACAAAATACCATAACAATGAACAGAGTAGGATACTTGTGCATCCTCTCCTTTGACAGGTGCAGAGGCACCTCGAGCAGCTGTTTCACCCTTCCAGTGGCTATGAATGCAGCAAGCAGAAATGGGCGGGGAGGTTGAAGACACTTGAAAATTCAGGCAGTGAGTAAGTGTGTGCTCACCAGGAATCATGTGTTACTTTTTTCACAGAAGCTGCTTTTGGGCAGCTTTTCCAAGCAGTGGTTGCAAAATATAGTCTTGCTGCTGAGGGCATGTACCCTATCTCGCAGCTGACACATTCCTTGGCAATCCACAACTATGCTCTGATTTTGTAGGATTTTTAGGCTGCCCGCTGTGTATCAGTGGCTTTCCTTTTAGGCAGTCAGATCAGACTAAGTTTCAAGAAACTATAAGGTAAGATGTAGTGACATCTCACAGAATTATGAGCAATGAAGTAGCTTTGTAACTGTATTTGGGGTTCTCCTGCAAAGGTGAAGGTCCAAAGCACAGACAACAAATATTAAGATGGGGCCTGAGTGCTAGGTAGAAGCCAGCTTGGTGGTTTCCTTAGATGAACAGAGATTTCAGGTAGGTCTGGAGAGGAAAAAAGAAGTATTCAACAGGCTTGGGGTAGAGCTATCAATGCGCTGCAGCTTTCTCAGTGTCTCAAAAGGACTGCATTCTTGATACCAGAGACATGCTCCTGAAGACCGCTTATTCAAACCACAGAAAGGAAGCTGCTAAAATGGAAAATATGCAGGACTGATTTACTTCTTTAATGGAAAAAAACACATGTGAGGAAAGAGAGAAGACAAAGTAAGAAATATGACAGTATTAAGATTTTTGATACCACAATATTTCCTTTTCAGTTAATGTAAATTGGTTGTTTGCCTTTCAGACCTTTTTTGGCATTGTAAGTCAAGGGGTCTGGTCACACTAACTCTTCTGGAATTGCTTCTTGGTTAAGACACAAGCAAGGTTTTAAGCATAAATTGGCATCTAGACAAAACAAAAAATGGGATTATCCTGATGTATCCATGCTGCCTGGCTGCTTAGTATGTAATGAAATGTAGATGAATACGGCGCTCTTGCTACAGCAAAATTTTTATGACTTCCAGCTTTGACCAGCGCATTCCCTCATGTTCAATGGCTACCCACAGCTTTGTTTTGATCTTAACAAGTGAAAGTAATTTATGCCGTATGTAAATTTTAGCATGGCCACAAAGGATGCACTGCTTTTGCAGTGGGAGAAAGGGGTAATAAGCCAGAAGAGAAAGGGATGGGTCTTTCATAGCAATGTACAAATGTGCTAGAATAGTGGCCCCGATAGTACCTAAAGACCAAGATACTACTTTCACAAACCAATGCTAAATGCAGAAAGCTACCTGTAACTTTCTTACCAAAAAGATACCTCTCAACTTGCACTAGGATTTTCCAGGGACTTTAAGGAAAGATAAAAGCATTAGAATCAGATTTTCATCTATTTGGATATTCAAGTCAGGCATTTATTAATGGCTGCTACAACTTCAGCCCTAACATCAATCCACCAAGACTATCCATCCCTGTCTACTTGGTAAATTTAGACCAAACCCTGCTCAGTTTCACATGCAGTGTCTGGAGGGAAGAGTAGAGGTGGGGAGAGCAAACCCTCACTGACACCACCTAGGAAGTGTAAGGCTGACTTAACAGATATGGAAAAGGACAAGTTATTCATCCATAAAGGCCTTTCAGTGGAGTTTAAATCAGCCAAAATGCTGCCATTTAGAAAGTTTAAGGTGGCAGTGGAAGCTTCCTTACAGAGCTGACACATTTTGTATAGAATTTCCTACAGCAATTGCATCTGCAATGACTGCCAGGTTATTCAAAGAGAATCATTTTGTCAGAATGAGACAGTAAAAATTATATGGAAAAGTCAGCAGAACACACTTCTCGGAGGCAAAAGGGACAGAGGTAAAAAGGATTAAAACAAGCCAGTTTAATCAGCAATGGCATTTTTGTTCTGGCCACTGTAGCTAAATTATAAATAATATTCCACCCCTTTGTGTGCTAGTTAAAGTTTTGCTTAACGTAGTGTTTTTCCTTTGCGTCTCTACTGTGATTTTCATAATTCTGATACATGGAATATTCAAATAGTACACTCCAATTTTAACTGAGCTTTTGTTTGTAATAGTCTACTTTGTCTTCGGGGAAACTTCTATAAGCGTCATTACTGATATTCAACTGCAGGTTACGTAAGTCTCTTACAAACATGTGGAAGAGGTCACTCTCCTGCAATACCATTTATGAAATTCCTGTAATTTTCACTGTATTATACATACAGTATTTATAAAGTTCAAGTTCCACTAGCCAGACATCTGCATATCTGATGACTGAAAGCAAATTACTGCAGCCAAGGTGTCATATTATTTTTTTATATGATTACTCACTACAAGACATCTAAAGATTATGTGACAGAAACCATTTATTAGAATAGAAAAATTTAATTTTAAAATATGTTTCATTCTTAAGCATGGCAAGAACAGGGAATTTTCAGGCAGAAACAGCACGGACAATTTAACTGGGCAGCAGTGGTGTATGAAACATGGATTAGGGAAGCAAGCAGTGATTACTTTTGGCAGCTTACATACTTGAGGTCGCACCTACGGGGGCTCATAACTTAGCAAGATGTGAAACAGACAGAAGTTTGCTCTATGTTGTTGGCCTGTTCTTTAGCAACGTCACATTAATTCAGTCAAAGTATTGGAGTAAGTACATATAATAGCTATGCTGTTAAGGCTCGCATACAAACAAGTTGTTTGGAGTTTTTATGAACTGCAGTTTTCAACAGCTTTCAAATCATCCATAAATTGTACTTTTAGTCAAAATAAAACACAGAGGGCTTTAACACACAGGAAATTAATTTTAAGACTAAATTTGATACAAGATGCTTCAACCACATTAAATTTACCAATTTAAAAGATTGTGAATGAATTCTCAAAACCTTAAAGAACCCACAACCCTCCCTCCCCCGATCCAAACCATACTTTTAGGAAAGAAGAGACATTTCCTAATTTCTTCTTCCTGCTATTGTTCTTCTCAAATATCTGCAAGCTCTTTCAAACAAAACTTATACATAATCATAGAAAAATTCTCAACTGAAGGAACTCAGGAGGTCTCTAGTCCAACCTCCTGCTTCAAAGCTGGGTTAGCTCTGAGATCAGACCAGGTTGCTCAGAGCTTTATCCAGTCAGGTCTTGAAAACATCCAAGAACAGAGACTGCACAACCTCTCTGAGCAACCTCTTGCAATTCATCACTGTCCCAACAGTGAAAAGGTTTTTCCTTATGTCCAGTTGTACTGGGTCTGGCCGGGATGGAGTTAATTCTCATTGTAGCTGCCCATACGGTGCTGTGCTTTAGATTTGTGACTGAAAGTGTATGGATAAAACACTAATGTTTTGCTGAACAGTGCTTGGACAGAGTCAAGGCCTTCTCTGTCCCACTCAGCAAGTAGGCTGGGAGTGGGCAGGAGGCTGGGAAGGGACACATCCAAAACAGCCACCTGAACTGACCAAAACTATATTCCATGCCATATAATATCACTGAGGGGATTGAGTGCACCCTCAGTAAGTTTGCAGATGACACCAAACTGGGTGGGAGTGTCGATCTGCTCGAGGGTAGGATGGCCCTGCAGAGGGATCTGGACAGGCTGGATCAATGAGCCAAGGCCAATTGTGTGAGATGCAACAAGGCTAAGTCCTGGGTTCTGTAGTTGTGTCATAACAACCCCATGGAACACTACAGGCTTGGGGAAGAGTGGCTGGAAAGCTGCCTGGCCGAAAAGGACCTGGGGGTGTTGGTCGACAGCCGGCTGAACATGAGCCAGCAGTGTGCCCAGGTGGCCAAGAAGGCCAACAGCATCCTGGCTTGTTTGGCCTACCTCCCAGGTAGTTAGCAATAGGACAAGAGGAAATGGGCTCAAGCTGCGCCAGGGGAGGTTTAGATTGGATATTAGGAAAAATTTCTTTACGGAAAGGGTGGTCAAGCATTGGAACAGGCTGCCCAGAGAGGTGATGGAGTCACCATCCCTGGAAGCGTTCAAAAAACGGGTAGACGTGGCACTCTGGGACATGGTTTAGTCTAGTCTACCCTGTTTAGTGTGGTCTTGGTAACGTTAGGTTAATGGTTGGACTGGATGATCGTAAAGGTCTTTTCCAACCTAAACGATTCTATGATTCTGTGATCATGCTCAGCAATAAAACTTGGTGGGGAGAGGGGGAAGTCTTTCCAAGGTAGCCATTGCTCAGAGAATGGCTGGGCATCAGTCTACTGGTGGGAGATGGTGACTGATTGGTTTGCATCACTTGGTTGCCTCCCCCCTCACCCCGCCCTTTCCTTCCCTTCCCTCCCCTCTTTCTTTCACTTACTAAACTGCCTTTGTCTCAATCCACGGGTTTTTCTTGCTTCTGGCCGTCTGAGACTCCCTCCCATCCTACTGGTGGGGACAGTAGTGAGCAAGCAGCTGATAGGTGCTTAGTTACTGGCTGGAATCAACCCACCACACCAGTCTGAACCTCTCTTGTTTCAGCTTAGGTCCTTGCTGCTCATCCTCCTATTCTGCACCACCGCAAACAGCCTGGCTCTGTCTTCTTGAGCATGTGCTTGAACTCCCTGACCATCTTAAGGGCCATGCACGAAACTTGTTCTGGTTTATCAATGCCTTTTATGTATTGGTGACCCAAAATATGGGGCACTGTATTCTAGATGCAAGCTAATAAGGGCTGAAGAGAGGGAAA